AGTGCTTCGCGAAGAGCAGAATGAAGGGAAGTCATTCGCAACTGAGAAGATCTTGGACGTTCTTGAAAACGCTGTCGCTTTAAAGGAGACCCTCGCACTGACTACATCCGCATTCGGGGATTGCAACATCACGACACGCTCTGATTTTGATCAAGAAGTTGACGAGAGGCTGAACTACGAAGAAGACTCAATCGCATACACTTCCAAACATCGACAAGAAGTTACATCGCCGAGAGATTTGAGTGCTCAATGCATTTGCGGAAGTTATCAACATGACGCGACGCGATGCACAACATTCCAAACACCAGCGGAGCGACGTGATGAAGCCAGGAGACAAAGGCTGTGCTTCAGATGTCTTCAAACCGATCACAGGATTAGTGATTGCACCAGCTCACAGTCATGCTACAAGTGTTACGGAAACCATCACACTGCCGTATGCATGGGTAGCTATTCAGCATCTAGAGGCACCCCAACCAGGAGATCACAGCAACGATCTGCTCGCGATCAACATCTCCCAAGAGACCCTGAATTTGCACAAAATTCTGGAATTCTCCACAACAAGAGCACTAAGCGAGAAGGAGGAATGCAGCACGTGCTGATGACGGCGACTGCATTCGCATACGACTACACATCGACCAGCTATAAGCCCGTGACTGTCTTCTTTGATGGAGGTGCACGAAAGAGCTTCATCAACACAAGGAAGACCCCAAGCTCTTGGCTTACCAGTGTTGCAAAACACGACTTTCAAGATTGGCGGCTTTGGAGGATCTACCGCAAATTTCACATCCAGTGAAGTCCCGCTTACTCTGAGAACAGTGTCTGCCGGAGTCGCTGCCAAAGCTGTGAAGATACATACGAAGTCAACACTCACTTCCACGATGAGCACAGCTTGGCTAAGCGCAGAGGATAGAAGGTTGATTCGAAAAAGAAAGATTCGAGTAGCACAACCGGATCTGAAGACGCGACGGATCACACCGGATATTCTCATTGGTCAAGATCTAATTGATCAATTCATCTTGAGGGATCGACCATGTACAATTCTTCCGTCTGGGCTTATTCTCACCCCTACTGTTTTCGGCCATGCAATCTCCGGAAGCAGTCGTATGTACGGAATCAAAACGGAGGAGTATTCGCAGAACACCGCAATCACCAGCGCCTCCTACAATCATCCAGGTAGTAAAGGAAACTCAGTGAAGCAGAAGCCAACTACAACTGTTGAACAAACGAACCGCACAAGTTCCAAACGCCGTGTGAAGAAGCTCGACTGTTCGATTCCGGCAAAGAAGCTTGCGCAACCTATGAAGTCACCAACGAAAAGCAGAAGCGATCAACGCAACAACGCCTTCGATGGACTGCAGTTCAATTACAAACGCCGAAAATCGAGGACTCATGGACAGTCGGTGAAGAAGAATACTGAAGCTCAACTGGGACAATTCGCTTCAGCGCTGCGCCTGGCCCCGAAGGCCGACCACGGCATGATGACCGATCACCGTACGATTCTTAGACGAGGACACAAACCTGTTGCAGAAGTCATGTGATGTATGTAATTTAACTAATGTTGTGATGATATAATTTGAATTTGTTGAAGCTTCAGTAATAGTGTAAATTGTATTTTCTTGCTTTCGCGCCTTCCGTCGCGCGCCCCACTGTCGTAGATTATTTGCGAATCTACGACCTTTACCATTGTAGATTCATATTGTATGCTATATTCAGTATCCACTAGCTTGTCGTTGACAGACATTACTGTTCACGGACCACTTAAGCCGCCAGGTCACCCCTCCACTGTGCTTGATAGTCTACTTGGCGGCGCCTACTTTCATGTAGGCAATCCTTGATTCTGTATGATACTGTTATTTGCCAGAAGTGAGCATTCAGGTTATCCACGCCCAAAATAGTGGCATAAAAGGGCCTGAATACTCAGTTCTGGTGTTGGTTCGATTAATACCACTATCGTCAGCGGCTGTTCCGCATATTCACTGTTAATAGTCAGCGGCTGCTCCGCTACTATCTAATAAACAGTTATACCCGTTGTGGTACCAGCTTGGTGTATACCAAAAGCAAACATGCGGAAAGAGAGAAAGGAAAGAGCAAAGGAACAAAAGGATTTAACTTACATTTGATAGTTAGAGATAGGGCGTTAAAAGTGAAGGTTGTTCGAGTTTTTGCCCCCTCCCCCCATGCTTTTAGGAAATCGAAGAAGAGAAAACGATGCAAAACAGTTAGAGAAAGAAGAAGCTCTTGAGAACCTAGTAAAAAATGCCGCAATCGCTTGGAAGTTTATCGTTCGGTGGTATTTCAAATTGCAGATTTTTCTACAGGACCAGGCAGTTCACAGTGCGGGGAAAACGAGGGAAAGCTAGTTTCTTCTTCGTGATAGTTTTAAAAACAAACATACAGGGTGTCCCAAAAAATGTACTCACTGTTTGATTGTAAATAACTCTCATGCAATCAAATATTTCGGGAAGCTTTAGGTACCATTGTGTAGAGCAAGGTTCAACTTAGATTTGCAATATGGAGTGAATCATCGACTGCTCTTCATTACTGTACGATTACGGTAGGAACTTTGAAGAGGGTTTTGAGCCATGAATGGCCATATTTTGCATCAGAAAGCAAACGAAACAGCGTGAAAAGTTTCACACTGGGCTAATTAGAGTTGCTGATTCTAAATGTGAAGTTCGCAGCTTATCAAAATGCTTCAATAAAAAGTTATGCGAGGTGAGAGTAGCGGCCGTTTTTTTCAATGCTCCCGAAAATTGCAATTATACCGTTTAGAAAGCAACCTTGTACATGATTGAGTATTAAACTCAGCGTCCATGGAAACCCAATTACACAACTTTTCACGTTTATTTGAAAATTTTTGAAACCGCAGCTTTTTTCGCAGGGACACCATATGCTTGAAGTTCCTACCGTAATCCTACAGTTATGAAGAGCAGTCGTTGATTCGCTCTATACTGCAAATCTAAATTGGACCTCGCTCTACAAAATGGTACCCAAAGCTTCCCGAAACACTTCATGACAAGAGAGTTATTTACAATCAAACAGTGAGTACATTTTTTAGGGACACCTTGTATTTTGGAAGTGGTGATTATTAAGGACTAGGCAAGAAAATAAACAAAAACATCCATTATAAAAAGAAAAATTTTTGTTTCTCCCTAAGCTTCTCCAGTTTTTGATACATCCTTTGCATTTTTAGCCCCTCGTAGTTTCTGTTTCTGGCAACGTTGTTAGCTCTGTTGTGCTCAGTTCCTGAGCAAAATGGCCCCAAGCATGTAAGAAGTGGTTGCTTACTAACTCCAATAAAGGCCTATGAGTAAAAACGCAGTTTTTGCAGGTTTATGCAAGATATTTCACCACAAAGAAGTTAGCCCCGCCACGTTGTCTACATTGTGAGCAGAAGCAAGGTCTATGGAATGCATAAAAAATCTGCTTGAAAAGAGCTGAATTGAAGAAAAAACAAAGGATTTTCGAAAACACGGTTTTTACCAGATTCCTCATTCAAATTCGAAAATGGAGCTGCGACATTGTCATCGTGAAAGTAGAGATCAAGAGCTTCAAAATGATACACATTTTGTTAGGATTAAATTGAAAACAACGAAGAAAAGGGTATCGGAGCCAAATGCCCCCTGCCCCGCGCTTGGGGTAGCGAGGTAGCGTACAACGCGCGAAGACGCAGACGGAGACAGACCAGAGCATACTTTCGATACATAGAGCCATGTACTCTGGTAACCTTCACTTTGAGGGCTATGAGGGGACACAACCTTCACCTGGGAAAAACAGAAGTCATCCGGGACTTCGCCCCGGATGTTATAATCCTGACTATATTGCAACATGTGTATGAAGCAAGTACAGAAAAGAATATCTTTAGATTGTCTTAGAAAACCGGAAATTTGCGTTTTCATAGCCTTTTTTACCATAAAAAGAAGGATTCTGTAGAATTTTCGCCAGAGTTCAGGACAAATTTGTCAGCTAACCTCTCATTTGAACAAAATCGAGTTTCAAAAGTTTAGGAAAGCTATAGGAGTTAAATAAAAACGAGAAACTGCGCTTAAATCTTGCGCAAAAAGTCGCGCAGGAATACGCCGGTCTATAGCGTTAATGAGTGATTTTCAAAGCTTGGGACGTTGTCAGTTCTCCTTGTCATGTCATGACGATAGAATGATATATAATTATGCAGGGTTTCGTTAACACCCCGCGGAGGTCTACGACCAGAGCCAAATGCCCCGTCGGCTCTCGTCTGTCTCCGCTGCTCGTCTGCGTCTCCGCGCGCTGCGCGCTAACTCGCTACCCCAAACGCGGGGCGCAAGGCATTTGGCTCTGGTACCCCTTTCTTCGCTGTTTCGAACCCAATGTTAGCAAGCTATATATCATTTTGAAGCTCTTGATCTCTATTTTCACGCTGACAACGTCCCAGAACCACATTTTTTGATTTTATTGAGAAATCCGGCAAAAACCTTGTTTTCGAAAATCTCTTGTTTTTCTCCTAATTTAACTCTTTTCACGCGGTTTTCTCGTGCATTCTACAGATCTTGCTTCTGTTCATAATGCTAACAACCACCCAGCCCTTACTTTTCGATTATGGTGGAATTTTTTGCGAAAAATTGTAAAAAGTGCGTTTTTCTTTACCTTGTTCTGTCTCAGTGCTTTCGCATCAATTTTTTTCCAGCTTGGGCGATTGTTGCTCAGAACAATAAGCGCAACAATCCAGACAACGTCCCAGAAAACAGGAACGTCAATGCGGGGGTAAACATTTAAACGCATCAAAAATCAAAACCCCGTTTTGCGAATTGCTGGTCCTGGAGCGAAAACTTGCACTTTGGAAAGCCGCCAGATGAAAGAATTTAAACCTCATTGCAGCGTTTTTATCCGATTTTCAGCAGTTTCTTTTGCTTTTTATATCTGTTTTACGTCATTTTCTTTTTTCTGATCTTCTTTAAACAACCTTCACTATTTATGACGTCAGATGTTCAAACAACCTTCACTTTTGAGGCCCTGTCTCTAAACTATCGAAGGTATGGACCAGAGCCGATGGGGCATTTGACTCCGATTGTGGCGGCTCCGCGATGCGAGCGCTCCTAGAAGTAGAGGCCGGGAGCACTGGTTGCTGCCGCGCTACACGGCGACGATAACGGCACTTTCTTACGTTCGTCGCAACCGCCGCTGGACCTCTCCTCGCCTTGGCGCGTTGACGGGCAAAAGGCTATATATAGCGGCGGCGCCTCATTGCAGCGTCTGTTCGCTTTCGTTTTCGATCGATAATCTTTTCGTATGTTTTCCATTGTGCTCGTGCTGGCAATTAGCTCCCGCCTTTGAGGTTTCTTTCGCGTTAGGGGTCGAGCAGATAGAGAGTTATATTGGATCGAAGTGTGATTTGAGATTCTTTTGGACGAGCCACTTTTGGAGCTTTGAGATTTGGGATATTCAATATCTTGTAAACTTCGGGAGCGGAGAGGCTGTCGCGCCTGGTATCCGGCGACGCGTGGCGGATCTGTATTGGTGAAGCCTCGGGAGCATATTACTTAATTGTGTTTATAGCCGTGCACATCGGTAGCACGGGATGGGGCAGCTCGTCCCGTGTTGAGCTTATTGTTGTTTAGTATTCTGGTTTTGAGTTTTTCTTCGTAGTTTAGTTGTAAGTTTTTGTGTAGCTTTTATTATCCTTTGATGTCATAAGGATAAAACCTTAGTAATTTACCTTCTGTCTGGACGCGCTAGGGCAAGTTAGTAGGGTAGGTTGCGTCGTATGTATTAAGCGGGCGAGCGTGCGGGTGTCTCGGATAAATCTAGGTGCTAGGGCCCACCGATCCGCCACACCGATCGTAGATCTCGGCGGGTTCTCAACGAAATCCCGCACTTATTATATCTTGTTGTGATCCTCACGACGCGACCAAGAGCACTGACAACGGCGCGGACGTTGAAAATCACTCCATAGCGAGATAAACTAGCATTTGTATGGCGACTTTCACGATTCTAGCGAAGTTTCTCGTTTTTATTGAATTCTAACAGTTTCCTGAACTTCTAACGCTCAATCGTAGTCTATGTAAAGGTTAATTGAGGATTGTCGTTCTCAGATCTAGACGGACGAATAAAAGCCTTCTTTTCAGCAGAAAACTACAAGAACGCAACCTTTCTGTTTTCTAAGCTTTTTTTAAATATTACTCGCTACACTTGCCCATTCACATTCACTCCTATATAGCTATGTCAATATATCCGGGCCTTCGCCCCGAATGACTTCTGTTCTTTTCTACAGGTGAAGGTTGTGTCCTATAATGACGCTAAAAGTGAAGGTTACCAGAGTACTTGGCTATGTATCGAAGGTATGGGGCGCAGTATCTCTCACAGCAAAGTTCTAATCAGTTTTAAGAGGAGCAGCGATAGAAATCATTTTAGTCCATAAAAAAACTTAAATCTCATATGAACTCACACAAACACATGCTTTATGAGAATCTAGTCGATGGCAGGGTCTTGGAAGACATCAATTTTGAGAAAGGATACATCCAAGTTTCAAAATCTTTTATGACACTTTTCAAGTATACTCTATACAAATACCCCACATTTAGGATCGCATACTTCTCCGCACTGTAAAAATGCGTGGATAGCATAGTACACGACACCCCCTTTGCTTTTTGCCCCCAAAAACGGAGTCCAGAATATTTACACGACTCCCGCACTGGGCCCTGGAAATAACACGCTCGATATAAATTTGGTGTTTTTGCAGGATAAAGGTTGTGCGTTTCGCTCTTCATCAGAACAAAAAAGACGGAGAGACGACAAATTTGTAAATGCTATTTTCATGATTTCTATAACAAGACAACAACCGTCAATGGTTTATTACAGGATAAAAATCTACGTTACTTTAAAAGTAAATTCTAGTGCAGATCAATAACACAATTCACAGACATACTGAAAACACTCGAATACAAACTTTTAACGAACAATCGGCCAATACTTCTGCTATAAGGAAGAATTAGATATGACAGTAAAGTTTACGTAATATAATGCGTAATGAGAATTAGAACCCATATTTCACTGCGCAAAGGAGCAGAAATTAAGATCGCTTATGTACAAAATCATTAGGAACAAAAAAAAAATAAAAAGATGAGGAAAGGAAATACAGGAATAAGAGGAAAGAGATTTTTTGTATTTTCATGGCTGATCAATTTTTGCGTCAGTAACTGTAATTTCAAAATGAGGACATTGATGTAACACTGTAATTTCAAAATGAGGACATTGATGTAAGACTAACTTCAATTTTGATTAGTTGCGAGAACTGGTCCTCAATATGACCGTGGTCAACGGAACTATGAAATCGATGTTATCATTCGGATAAAATCTCCAGAAACAGTGAAAGATTTTTGGTTAGTTCAGAATGAAAGGCAAAACAATAGCAAACCGCATACGCATAAGTTGGGAGGGCCGGGGACTAGTATTCTCACCGCAAACTTTCCCCCAGAAACAAGAGCAGATCCAATATTTGTAATCAGGTCAATATGCAGAAACTCTGAGAATGTTAAGTAACACAATTTTATCATATTGCACAACAATCTTCAAGTTACTGTATCTTTTTACTCTAAGTGAATATATACATTATGCCTAACCCGTGATAAATCGTTGACTAACTACACTAGGCGTAGTGCTAACAGCTGATGTACTGTAGGATTTTCTATCCGGGAGTTGTCATCACTTGTCGGGGCCAGCCAATTTTAGCATCGTGACGTTTGTAGGCGAAAAGATGAGGTTTGCCGGTTCCTCGAAGATTGTCACGGATCGCATCTGGGCACTCATGGGGTAGCAGGCATGACTCGAAGCCGTTCACGATCAGATACCTAAACGGTTTCAAGATGTGGTACATGTCAGAGAAAGAAAAGGGACAAAATTTATATTGAATGAAAATACTTACAGGCCATGATCTTCCGGATTTGTGATTCCTTGCTGATGAGCAATGACGCGACATAATTTTCCTGTAGTCATTTGCGGGACACCGGGAAATGTCGCATATCTGAACTGATACGATATGCTGAAACGTTTCTCGCCTCCTTTTTTTGAAAATTTTTGAATTGTGGTTATAACTATTTGAAAATTTCGAGAGGACAAAAACTTTGGTAGCGAAGGACTCGAAAATGGTCTACATGAGTCTTAAAATCGTGCAAATGACCTCCTTTCAGTTGCAGGGATCAACTTTAGCAAATTTATGGAAAATTCAAAATAGCTATGTAGGATCTTTTTTCGGAGGATAACAGCCACTTAGCCCCTTTTTTATAATTTCATTATTATAGCGCCAACTGTGCCTCCCTTCTCCCCCCCCCCCCCCTCCCCCTCTCCCCTCCCAAGAATCCTGGAATCGCAAAAACATAAAATATCAATCTTTTTTCTCTTTTTCAGAGTCAATTGACATCTACAAAAACTTCGTTCCGCATTCACAAATGACATTTCATTAGCTGCAGGGGTCCAAAATTAGCATTTTTACCTGATACATCCAGCAACCTCGTCTGGTATAGCAACTTTCACAAACGCATCTGAAGCAGAAGACGATGGCGATGACATCTGATGCGAAAGATCCTATAAGACCAAAGGGAGAGTGTGAACTCGATTAATGTCACTTTGGAGGAACCAAACATACCATGCTACTCATCATGTCTTCATCTTTTTCAGCAAGTTTCTTTATGGCATCTCGGCTCTTCAGAATGTGAATTGCACAAAACAGGGCCGTTAAGTAGTAAGCTGCATCACCCTGCAAGAAAAAATCAGCAATTTGCGAAAAAAAGGGTATACAATTGTAATGAGCATTCTTACCTTGGTAATCATCTGTTGCGGTAACAATTCCCACATATACCAAGCTTCAACTTCACAGCCTACAGTCGATGTTCTGGCCAAAATGTAGACTAGCCATCGTACCAGGTCTGAATTGCAGGATTTCAGTCAGATGCCGGTTGGTCCAAATGGAATAATTGATGAGAAAATTGCACAAAAGAAAATCAATGTAAAATGATCTACCATCAGCCGCCATAGTTTTTTCTGAGCGTTTGTCGTCATTCGGTTGCAATGTCATCACGATGCTAATGGCTCTGAAATTCAATAGCAAAAGATTTCTTCGAAATTTTTCTCAATTATCTAATCGATTCTCTTATGAACAAGAGAAAAGAACATAAAGTGCTGCAATTATCCAATAATGGAACTGGTTGGAAGCAGTTTAAAAGAATTAGTTAGAAAAAACAAGAATTAGTTAGAAAAAACAAGATTTGCGAATGAAAAGGCTATGAATAATCATACCTAAGCAAGTTTTCCAGCTTTTTCAATGGGGAATAATGATGTTGCATCTTCCGTAAACAAATTTTGATTTGTTCCATGACAGAAGCTGGCGGCGTAGACAGCTAAATAACAGTGTTAGAAACAACATAACGAAACAAAAGTTTTCTGTATGCTATAAGCTCAAAGAATATGTTGAAAAACTACCTGATCTGCGTTAGAAAATCCCAGATCATTCAACGATAACGATCGCACATAGGCAATATTCGCAGAAAGTGCTTGTAATCCACCGGCTCTTGAGTTTTCCTTGACCATCACATGGTAGAGATGAGGTTTGACTCGCTCTAAAAAATTATAAATATTACTGCCAAACAATTTTCACTTATATTAGCATATTATAAATTTAAAAAAAAACTTACTCAATAACAACTTATGCAGTACAGCTTCCAATATAGCGTCGATGTTGAGAATCTGGTTTGCATTGAGATGCGCACTCTCTTGGTCAATGAGGGCGTGTAAATCGCCTAAATTGACATCAGTAGCCCTAACTTAGGTCCAGATTTCGTACACTCTAGCTCTGTATAACTTGTAAATTTTACGGAACTGAAGCGGAGAAACTTTACCGACGAATGTAATTTCAAAGCAGTTAGGCTCAGATATGCAAATAAAAAAAACCGAGGAAAGGATTTGATTTTTCTTCTCAGAATTTATTTCCAGAGAAAGACTCGATTTTTTTGTCTCTGCGTAAGGCTTTTCATTGCTTTTCAGTCTACTGGAAGACATACAACACATTTTCAAATTTTCCTCTTTTTTCAAGAAAAAAATTCAGCGAAGTGACAAAAGGTTGAATTAAAGGCAGTGTCCAGGCTAAACCTAACCCCCTCCGAGTGTCGGTCCTGAATGTAGGCCCCAGAAAAGGGGCATGTGCGTTGGTCCGGTCTTCTAACGTTGTCTGCAAATGGAGATAAGGGGCCTGAAAGTCCCTGGCTGGGCGGAGCTCGTCCGCCCCCTCAAGACTGGGTCCCCAAGAATCGGGTTTTTGTGAGTTTTGTAGAGTTTGAAGTTCGGAACTGTAATCAGGGCCACGGAAAGGCCCCAGAATGACGAAAACATGGAGGGCCAAATTCTGGGTGGACGCTGCCTTTAAAGATATCAAACAAAACAAACCTTCACCATGTTTGACCAGATAATTCTTGATTCCATTTATGAATTGCCTCACATTTCTCACAACCACACTAGGATCAGCTTCTTCACTTTGAACGGTACATTCAATAAACCGCTTTAGTGTAGCGCCAAAAACGGTGCTTTCATCTTCGGCAAGCCTTAACACATTCATAAATGAATTCTTATTATTTGAGAAATCATTCGTTGAAAACGGATCTACCTCTCCACATAGCTCTGAAGTGCAGCACTGGAGTCAGACTGGCTTGTTTTTCGTTCTGAGTTTAGGTTAGGCGATAATGCCGGGAGGGAAAGAGGTAAATCGTCTAATGAGCCAACTTGTTGTGAAAATCGGGAGATCGCTCTTGGTAGCTGGAAAGGAGAGATGCGATAGAAGAAGGAAAAAGTACTATAGTGTCCACGTAGATTTGAGAGCCCGCTTTCTTATGTGGGAAATGATTATGTAGCCTAAGCCACTGCCCGAGCTGCAGTTCATATGATTCATTTCTAGCCAAGAAATTCAACTCTAGACCCCTGCCCACTACCGTACTCAAGGACATTGATTGGCGGGAAGAAGTACGGTCTGAGCTGGGGTTAGAGTTGCTCAGCCACAAATCAGTCATATATGCTGCTGCTTGATCTCTGGCTTAGCTAAAGTCTCCCAAACAAAATCGCAAAAGAAGTCCAAGACCAAATTCTACATGGGCACAACCCTTTGAAATTTTTGAACTGAGATTTACCGATTGCATAGAATGCGGCGGAGTTCGAGCACGATCTTTCCGTAACGTCCCCGAAACAGAGTGATCAGGAAAACTGTCCACGGTACCGTAGCTGCTGAAGACAGGATTATATAAGGATTCGCTTACATAATCCGGGATAACTATACCTTGCCACATCGTCATTTTCCCAGGCTTTGCATGTAACCCGATCCGATGGTAACGTTCTTCGAGCTGATGCTGTCATAGACATCCACATTTCTTCATCGAGTTCATCATCGGATTCATGCATTCGGGTAGAACCTCCCGGAGTTCGATCCGAATCAGAATCTTCCTCGTGGATTGTTTCAGACATTTCTAGAAAAAATTCAAGGTAGTACAAAAATATGGACTAGATCATGGCTAAGCTATTGCGCGAGCGGCAGCTCATATGATTCGTTTTTAGCGAAGAAATCCAACACTAAAGCCCTGCCCGCTACAGTACCCGAAGGCCTTGATTGGTCGGAAAGATATGGTACTGGGCGAAAGTTTAGAGTTACATTTCTCGGCCACGAATCCATCAAATGTGCTGCAGCTTAAAGCCTCATAAAATTCTAACAACAACAACAACCAGAACTCACGTCTAACTCCCGGTTCTATGCCCTCATCGCCATGACTTGCCAAATCCAATAAATTCTCCCATACATTCGAATCCCATGGCTCATTGAATACCGTCCCAGCTACGCTCACATTATCTTCGTCTCGCTGCTTGAAATCTGGCAACGAACAATGTCCATTAACTCGGGGAAAAACACCATCTCAGACTCAATATTTGCACACCTGGCTTGCACGAATCCAAACTGCTAAAGTCGCTTAATTGAGCGTATTCGGAGTTTTTCGACATGCTGCCTCCATTCATTCCATCAGCCGTCATTTTAGCTGCCAGACGAGTCTGGAGTGTGGGACGTACCTGAAATAAATCAAATTGGTACGAAGAAAAAGTTATATTAGTTTGATCGGAGGACTTAAAAAAGCCCTCATCAATCCAGAGTCATATTGAGAGATGTTAGGGGTCCGCGCTAGGTTATCTTTGCTCTTTATACTGGACAGAGTCAGAAAATTCATGAAATGAGTAGTTTATGTAAATGGGTGGCTACTTGAGTTTGACGACACGAATAAAAAATGTTTCATATATTTGTAAATATAAATTGTCCAAAAATTTATCGAAAAGAGAAACGATTGTTGAATTCAATTTCTAAGTTCATCCATGACTCAAAACAGTAGACAAAATTAAAAAATGAAGCCAGAGTTTCACCAAATCTTATCGAGATCTAGCAAGCAATAACGACAAGTTGTGATATTTCAATGATTTCAGGGTCAGCTATTCCATGACCCACTGCTAATTCGAGTAATTTCACTCACAAAATTTCATTTCAGGAAACACCGTTGTAAGGGCTATGCGGTACAAGCAATGAAAATCCGTTGCTATCAGGTCGGAACACATACAAGTAAGCCTTGCTAGAACAGAAAATTCAAAAAATGCTTAGGAAACCGCTTCAGTTCAAAGAATATTTTTCAATGTGCACATTACATTCATTTTTTTAAAAGGAACCCCCTCCAAAGAAAATCAGAACTCAAGAAGATTGAAAGACTGCAACTTCCGTGGAGATATGCGATCAACGCAAACTTTTTTGGTGGGAAGAGTAGGTCAAAAAACTCAAATCAAGAGTAAAATAAGATGTTGGCCTCCTAGCATTTTGACCTAAAAATAAGAATGCAATTTTTCTCATCAACTTCTTTGCATCGGACAGTTTTGCTTCGACAACTACTCATAAAGAAGATTTCCTCTCATTGCATTATAATCAGACAGATTTAATGAGAATGAGAAGATTACAGGTATTTTCAAACTGCAAAACTTTCTCCAAAATAATGAATAGTTCTTGCATAATTTTGCAAAAAAAAAAGTACAAGGAAAGAACTGAGGAAACCCCTTCGAAACGGCCTCTAAGGAAATCCCGACTAACAAATTCTAGTGGTGCCCACTACCCACAATGGTAGCAGCTGGCTGGTTAGACTTGTTGTGTAATAACCGTCGGGGACGTAGCTAATTTGATTAAGCTAAAAGGCTACAATTCAGGCGTGCAATGGATGTAATATAGGACGGCAATGCTTTCAGAAAAAAAGTATTTGATGAATCATGATGAAAATATCAACATTACGTTGGCATTGCATTGTCTCACAGCCTCACCAGCTTCATTACAGATCGTTATAACAGATCAATAAAATGTAAGTTCTCTTTCCAGTTCATGGCTTAAGTGCACCAGATGATAACTAACGACGAAGAAATACCGAAGAAGAGCATCAAGTTCATAACACTAGTTGAGCAATCTCGCTAAGAAACTTCTTATGACGCTGCTTGTGTTTACAAGTGTTCCAGATCTGACACTAAGTCATAAACAGCCATAAATAGGTACGCTTCTGCAAAACGAGCGTTCTTCGTCACCGAAATGGCGCTATCGACATCGTAAACCTAGTTCGAATTGCAATTTTAGGATGTGCGCGATGTGAATTTGTAAATTTATTCTGGTTGAGCTAAAATTTGAGAGCTGCTTGGCAAGATAACACACTTCCTTGTAAGTTCGGATGACTGAAATTTTACAAAAAAAAAGACTGGAAGCAGAAAGCAGAAAATGCTCTTCAAAAACAAACACAGTCGCATAGGAGGTACTTTTTGCTAAAGTGTGCAACTGTACATTTTCCAGGATGTTAGCGATGGAATGCGGGTGTTTCAGGCAAAAAATGCAGGACATGCAATCAGTCAGGCTTCTTCAAACACAACTGCGCCTGAGCAACAAAGAAACCAAGAAAAAACACCAGCAAAACAGCATCTGGGCCGGCCGCATGGCCAAGCTCTTCCTCCAAAAAAAGGGCAATTGCACACTTTAGCAGAAAATAAACTATTAGACTGTAACTACTGTAACTACGGCATTGCAGGCTGTACGGTGCATCGAAGAAGATTAAGAATAAACATAAGACAATTCAAAATGAACGACTCCCAAAATAAAAAAGAATTAAATAAGAAAAACTCCGGAAAGATTGTAACACATCTTTATAATTCTTCCCCTTGAGAAATCGCAGGCGATTTGGCAGAAGGAAGGAAATATCAATATGAGGAAATTAAAAAGCAAACGAATATCAAACTTCCAAAAAGACTGATTTTTTGATAAAATGCGAATAAAATTTCACAGAAAAAAACCACAAACCTTCGCAATTCTTTGCTTGCTCTTTAGCTCAGAATTTATAGCCGACCAGCTTGAACTCGGTTGATTTGGAAAGAAACGTGAATCACGTTTCGATGATGGCGATGGCGCCGCAGCGATACCACCACTAGGCTGCTTCTTCTCGGGGCTGCTACAGTGATTCGCTCGTCGCCAAGCGAGTTCGCTTTCCCGTCCACTTCGTACACGTTCACTGTTGAATCTGCAAAGATAAGATGAGATTGATAGATTAGGTGCGATAAAGCCAGCATAACGCTGGCTGTGAAAGAATATGCGATTTTGCAGAAAATCGGCTATTCAAGCTTAAAAACCAGATTTCAGCGCAGGATCTTATGTTAGCATAGTTATCCTTTGCTTCAACTGGCTTGGCGGCTGGAAGGCGAGGCCTTGTTACCTAATTAAGGCCGCACGCACCCGCAACGCAGTCTGCGTCTCTCCCGCGCGCGTGCTCTCTGATCATTACCTAGCCTTAGTTAGGTCACGAAGGCCCGCCTTCGAGCCGCCAAGCCAGTTGAATCAAAGGGTAATTTATTCTGAAGTAGATGAGTATAGACTAAGCGAAAGACCTGCACAACCTGCCCAAAAAGATATACAATTTGGCACAGAAACCATTTGTTAGGCTGCAAAATTTGCAAAAAATTAGCCCTATGATCTGACTGCAGCATAGATTTCGTATTTTTGGAGTTCTCTTATAATAGGAGATTGTAAACACCCAATTAATGATGTCACTCCACGTGCGCCTATCGTAAACAAGACAGAAGATAATCGGATCAGGAAAGAATCGATGAAATGATTCAGATTTTGAACGATTTCGTCACGATTGTGAAGAAAATTCCACCGATTCGATGGAGGAGAGAAAGAGAGAAAGAGGGAGAGAGATAAAACCAATTCTCCATTTTTATCCGTTAGATCTGCTCCACAACAAACAGAAAACAAACATTTTGCAAAATTATCAGCTATGGCTATAAGTGAGTATTTTGTAATTTGAGCTGAGTAATCTGAGTAATTTGCTCGAAAGCACTATGACCAAAGAAGAGAATAACAAATTTCTCATTGATGAAAAAACAAGTTCAGAACGTAATTCCATAGAAAAGGGGATTTTCAGATTTTTAGCAATTTCGTCGCAGATGTGACAAATTTTCTATGAGTTCAGTACGATAAAAAAATCAATCGATTCTTATAGAACCTATTTCTTTACAAAAACAGAGTTTACAAATGCCAGGCATGGCTGACTGTAAAGGATGTGTAATTTGTGACTTTTTAACAAAAAATAAAAATTCAATAACTTCCCCCAATTGTCCGTGATTTCTGAAGAAACCAGGTCAAAAGCACAAAAGGTAGACATATTTAGCACAGATATAGATAACGGATTGAGAGAGAGGGAATTTTATCGACAGTTAAAAGCTTATATCTCCCCCGTCTTAGCGAAAAGAAAAACATTACAGAAATATCAACACATCACAGGAAAGAAAACATTCACTCTCAAGAGCATCGCAGACTTCGAAAACATTGCGGAATTACTGCTGAAACAGCTGGAACTCACAGCAAAAGGACAAACCGGTGTTCGGGTGGTTGGTACGCATCAAATCACTGTCAGAAACATATTGAACGACTCTATCGATGGACTTCTTTAGTCGAATAATCGCAATGTACGAGGTCGGGAAAGTCATCAGCGATATTATATGATCGCGAAAGGACGAGCTTTTGCAGGAAAGATGGATTCAAGTGAAACATTGGAGCGAAATTGTACGTAAATTTGCAGAAACAGTGCTTAGCCGCTAATCACTCTCACTAATAGTCTTTACGCAACGAGACAACCCATCCCTTTCGCAAACAACAACGCTTTAATTCGAAGAAGCACGAACCATGAAGGTCAAACATGGCCACACATTAACCCCCTTCCCTCTCCCCCGTACATTATTAGGTTCCAAAAACAAGATCATTACTCCATAAACTGTTACTCAATCGATAAACGGAATAAAATCAGGATGATGGGATTGGGCGATCGCACAACTCGGAGAGCGAGGAGAATAATGCCGGAATAGGGGTCAATGGGAATGAAGACAAATTGCTGCAAGTGTCACGATCGAGGGGATGGGTGGCTGACTGACTGGTTATCGGGCCCATAACAGAGACACTGGACAATTCGGAAAGGAGCCGGAGATTCACACTTCAGGATATATCCAGCTGATCTCCGGCAACTCGAAAACTCCGGTTTGAGATCTTAGATAAAAGAGGCTTCAGAATTTAGGGAATGCTCTCAAACAGTTAGAATATACGAAAAAATGAAAGAAAGAAACTGGAAGCCATAGAGAACAATTTTAGTGATCAAGAAAACGCGAAAATTTACACTCTTGAGAAAAGCACGATTTCGAAGGCTCAAATCGAATTTTGAAAAATTGCATTTTGAAATAAAAAGCAGTGAAATTTAGATGAAACAAGATGGCAGTGAAAATTTATCTCAATGAAACTTCAAAGTAATTTCATGGTGCCCCAAAAATGTAGAAACGCGAATGTGATGACCTTTGAGAAAGAATTTTACGAAAGATACGAATTTACAAAAGAAAAAAATCACTACAGTTTCACAATTGACAAATACAATTTCGAGCTGCAGAGTAAAATCAGGGGTAGTCGGCTTTGACCAGTTGTAAGTTCCATTTCCAAATTCATACATATACTCAAGATGTTCTTTAAAAACTTCAGAAAAAGAATGAATGGAAGAAAGGAAACTGGAAACCAAAGAAAACAAGATGCTGAGCACTCGAGACAGTTATCTTCAGCAAAATGTCAAAAATGGAAACATGCCGAATTTGCAAGCCTTTGGAACTTAGGATCGAAAATACATGACTTTGCCTGGAAATGCGAACATTCAAGAGCACTGATAAATGGTCCCAGAATGAACTTCAAAAGAATGCTTTGCAGGGGAGGAAACTGGAAATTGGACGAAAAACCATAGAAAACAAGATTTTTGTGGGAAATCAAGACGAGTTATCTTCAAGAAAATGCCAAAAATGGAAACGTGCTGAATTTGCAAACATCTAGAATTTAACGTCGAAAAATACACGACTTTGCCTAGAAATGCGAACATTCAGGAGCTCTGAAAAATGGTCTCAAAATGAACTTCAAAAGAATGCTTTGCAGGGAAGGAAACTGGAAACCAGACGAAACAAGATATTGCTAGACACTCAAGACAGGCACTTGAAATTTCCAAAAACAGGCAATGCTGGTTTCGAGTCCAAAAATAAAAAAGTGCTCCTTTGTGAGCCTTTTAAACAGGAAATAATTTTGGCAGATGTCTTCATCAACCCCAGCAAATGCTTAGTAATATAATCCAACCACAATAAGACTAAGAAGGGTAGCGCTGGGATGCATGTGGCCGAACCAAACCCAGCAGGCGTCGGGTTACCTCCATCGTCTCTTCAAGACAAGTGCGAATAGCAAACACAAGGCGTCTATTCGGAATAAATGAATGAATGGCGCCATCGCAATCGTCGTAAGACCAGGAGGACGACAACGGACATGTTTGGTGAGTAGAAGAAGGCAGAGAAGGTCATTAAAATACAAGCATTGTGTCCGTTGAAAGGGCTAAAAGCCGTTAGCCCCCTTAGCAACGAGTGGCGAAACGATGACGACCCGGTTTAAAGGCATTTAGCGACCGAGCGAAAACGAATAAGCCGCAGAGTCTCTAACTGACCATAGAAAGACTTCATGGTTAGGCGCATTCGCACCGATGCGCGGGAACCATGGGAGCTTTCTATGGTAACGTAACCATGGTGTAATCCGACACCAACAGAACAGACGAGGCGGAAGTGGTTCATTGTGAGCTGGCGCTTCGCCTAATGGAGTTCTAAAGCTTTAGACATCTGTTTTTGTACACGAGAAAGAAGAGGAGCTGTATTGGAAACATGTTCGTAAGATCTTGGATCCCCTTCTTTCCTGTTAGACTCGAAAGTTTCAAAAAGAAAGAAAAATATGGCTCTTGATAGTATGAATTTCGTTAACATGATTTTCAACTTAACTTTTGAAAAACTGATTCAAAAAATTCTCTGAATCTCAGCATATACAGAATCAGACAACTCACGAACTCCGCAATACAAGCAAAATTGATTTTTACCATTGCAAAAATGGAAACTTCGAAAATGGGAACTTCCGCAGAATTTTCACCGTTGAAAACGGGGACTTCCGCAGGACTTTTTATAAAGCGCTGCGGAACTTCCGAAAATGCCAGGATCGATAAATTCTTAGTTTTCTTATCTGTAGCACATACTTTGGATTTCTTGGATAAGGGTCATCCAACTCATTTATACACTTTTTTCAAGCTTTCCATTTTCCCTATAACTGACAATTTGAAATGTTTAGGGAAAAATGGACAGATGGAGAAAATATATGATAAAATTTCATTATGTATTAATAAAACTGATAGAATTTTATTCAAGATAATCTAGCGCATTTGTGGCAGATACTCTCAGTAAAGTAAAAACACTAGGATTGATCCTTCCTACGCTAAAACCAAAAAATTTTTAAATCAATTTTTCAAACTGAAATTTCAAAAGGACTTTACTGAATCGCCTCCACCAAATAATCCGTAATACGTTGTAAACACCCCATCTCATCGATAATTGTACTCCAAAAGACACTTTCGAGCAATTAACGACTGACGACAACATCAGCGGCGGGTCATGGTGGGCAATTTGCTGGTAATAGACAGCTGTATGCTAAACGAAGAAAATGGGGAAAGGCTAACTGGATTTGTGGGCGACGGAAGGCAGAAAGCAAGGAGATATTGGTGCAAAACGGAAAGCAAACAAAAATTAGGAGGGAATTGCTTGTGAAAAAAAGCAGATATTTTCTGCACCAAAAGATGAGAGAAGATTGCTTAGTTAGTGATTTTCACAATAAACCATGTAGAAAGACAAAGATTCTTAAAAGTAGATTGAAATTCAAAATTGTTGCAACAAAAAAGTAACACCTAGCTAACAAAAACGAGCAAAATCTTGGATATGGCTCACCCGTGCACCATCATTTTCATGGTACACGGATGAGCCAGGTTTGGCAAACATTCATTATTCGAGTGCGGAGGTAAAAAACGCACAAATTCAAAGATTTTTAGCTGATTTTTCAGCACAGAGTGTACGACCAACTGGCAAGATGAAATGGACGCAATTTATTAGACTTGGTTCACCCTGCACCACTGCTCCTATG